CACACCATAATGAGAAGCCAACACATTTGGTCTTTGTGGTACCTATACCGTCTATGCAATTCCGTACTGAAGTCAGCGGGAATGAATAAATAAAAGGAAGACACAGAGCAGAGTGCTCCCATTTAAGGGAATAAAAAAACTACTCACATTTACTAAAGGGGTGGGGAGGGAAAGGGGGAAAGGAAAGAGGACTCTTTCTTCAAGATATAATTCTCTCTTTACTACTTAGGAGCAAACCCCAAAACCAGCCTTCAGGGTATAAATATTTATGCCTTCTGCATATAAGCAGATGTAACATTTCCAATTAACTGTCGATCTTTCCAGACTCTCTCTTTTTTTTTTTGTCTGCTGCAGTTTCAGTTCAGAATATAAAGATGAAATATGGATGGGGCTTCCTTGATTTGCTGAGCTCAGATGTCTAATGCATTTCCACGTTCCTGAAGATAAAAACTGCATGGCTTGTATGTTTCCTTCTCAAGCTTTCTCTTACATTCCTTCTTACTTTTTAATGTGCATGTATTTTCATGCAAATGGAAAAGTACCATTCCAAAGGTCTCTTGGTGCAATATAAATGTGAGCTAAGAAAAGTGGTAAGTGCTAGGGGCAGCTAATGTGGGAACGTCAAGGAAGGTAGGAGAGGATGTATTGTTTTGATATTATCCTTCCTCACGCGAGTGAGTAAACAGCAGAGCACATTCCCTTTGCAACTTATTGGGAGCAAGTTGATGATTCGCTAGAATCCTTTTATTAAGCAATCCAGTCTGGATTGTTCCTGGTAAGTTTCCCCTTTATTTCCCTCTTAAAATAATAACAACGCCACATGGTCTTCTTTAAAAGTAAGAATTAAGTTTTATTCACGCTCAGTTCACAGTAGTAATCTGAAGGCAGGCTTTATCTTGTAGCTACAGTGAAAAGAAGTCTGAGCTACATCTCAGACTCTGCTTGTGGGCTCCACCCTATGTGAAGGTTGAGCCGCGTCCTGGCTAAGAGCCAGGAGAGTCCAAAAGTAAGGGAGTCAAGAGACCAAGAGAGAGATACTTGCATGGCCAGCTCTTTTATCTGGTCAGCTAGGGTCAGACCCATCTATCTGATCCCACGCAGGGGGAGGAATCTCCAGAGCAGGTATGACAGGAAGTCCTCCCTGTCTGGAGCCACATTCCCATGTGTCCATTCGAGGCAAAAGGAAAATGTTGTACTTGACTGCTCTAATATTAATACACCCCATAGCTAACAGTCAGAGGCACAGGAGCCAACTCCGAGGGGCCAAGGTCCATTTGGCCCTCCCAATAAAATATTTGAGGGGGCCTGGACCCCCAAAGTTGATGGTCATTGCCATTCAAATGATGTGTGTGTGTGTGTGCTGCATCATGTGATTGATTATGCAGGGCTTACCTGCTCCCGCTAATATTTCATTCAAATTGGCCCCTCTGGTGGGAAGCAGTAATGCTTCTGAATACCAGTTGCTAGAAACCTCAGGAGGGCAGAGGGCTCTTGCGCTCAAGTCCTTCTTTGCAGGCTTCCCTCAGGCGTCTAGTTGGCCACTGTGAGAACAGGATGCTTGACTAGATGGGCCACTGGCCTGATCCAGCAGGCTCAGTATGTTCCATCCCATTGATCTCTCCCCCTTTAAATGTTTTTTTCTTAAATCCTTCAAAAGTAAAGTTGACCTCCTCTTCCCTTCCGTTAAAGAGGTAAAGATCCAGGACAACACTGGGATGGGTCTTCTTATTTTTGCTTCCAAGGAGGCTATTGCTGTAAGTTGTATCAGCACAGGCCTAAAGGAGGGGCTTTTAGGCTGAGGGAAGGGTTTATGATTTGAGAACAATCTTCTTTTTTTGATGTGTCCGGAAGAGGCCACAGAGGCAAATTTCAGTCCTCCACTAGCAGCTTTTTCAGAAAGACCTAGCCTCATTTTATACAGATAATGCAGGTTTATGGAACTTCTTTTTATACTCACACCAGGAGAAAATGGCTTATCTTCCATCAAGCCCTGTTTATAGTTAGGAAAACAGAAGAAGATGCTTCACTGCTTAATCTGAACCAGGGCTCATCAGAGGCCCTGAAATTGGAATTATTTGGGTCTATAAATATAAATTGCAGATTGAGGACAGGCATAAAACACAACTTTAATCTGCGGAATCAGTCAGCAATCTCAGTCCTTCCTCTCCTCCAACAGTTCCACTGACCTGGGGCATGTTCACGAATTACTAATTTCTGAGAAAGGGTTGAGCAGCGTTCCAGATAAGAGAATGTCGCTAAATTACAACCCATCACTTCAGGAACCAGTTTCAAAAGATGCTATTAGGCTGCTGAACCTTTGCTTCCATGCATTATGTTGAACTTTTTTTTAATCCTTTCTCTGCATTTGTGACATGGCAGGAGAAAATTGCCTCTGAGTATGGGCAGAGTGCTCTTTCTTCACCACTGAGGGCCGCTTCAAACATCACTTTTTCATATAGATATAGATATATAGATAGATATACATATTAGATGTTCAGGTGTCCACTGAAACATGCAACTGTGAATGCAACAAATGTATGAAACCATATAGGTACACTCATGAAGTAGCTATGAATGGTTGTGTGTCTCTGGCACCATTTCAGTTGAGTGCATACTCTCTAGATGAAGGTTAGGTTCACCATTGTCAAATGCATGAAGTACCTTCAAAAACCATAGCTAGGCAGTGCTATTTTTCTATAAAAAGAGGTGCTGGAACTCACCATGAACATCATTCTCTTAGAACAGCAATGGCGCCCACCTGAGAGGTGCCGGATCTGCGTTCCGTCAAGTTTTGGCTGGGGGGAAAAAAGGCCCTGCTAGTGAGTCCATAACACCTGAGATTATTTATTATTACACCTGAGATAACTTATTTACATCCTGTTTTCCTTCTGTTAGGGTTCAAGGCAACACACTTTACAAAAACCATGTGAGGGAGGTGAGGCTGAGAGATCACAACAGGCCTAAGTTCAGCTGGTAAGCTTCATTGCTGAATGCAGATTTGAACCGAGGTCTCCCCAGGGCTTGTCTGGCACATCACACTGTGAAGCACACAAGTGCTTCATCACACTGAGGCTGTGTATATTTAGAGCAGGGGTAGGCAACCTAAGGCCCGGGGGCCAGATGTGGCCCATTCGCCTTCTCAATCCGGCCCACGGATGGTCCAGGAACCAGCGTGTTTTTACATGAGTAGAATGTGTCCTTTTATTTAAAATGCATCTCTGGGTTATTTGTGGTGCATAGGAATTCATTCTTCTTCTTTTTTAAAATATAGTCTGCCCCACCACATGGTCTGAGGGACGGTGGACCGGCCCATGGCTGAAAAAAGTTGCTGACCCCTGATTTTGAGCATCCTGAAGAATCCTAGGCCCTGTGATTTGTTAAGGGTGCTAGGAATTATTATTGTCTAAGGCCTAAACGATAGCTCCCACGATTCTTTGGAGGAAGCAATGCGCTTTAAATGTGTGGTGTGCATGCAGCTATTCTCCAATTAGGGAGCATGGTTTTGGATCAAGCATCAAGGTCTGCAAAATAATAAAATTGTACTGCAGAAGATTGATTGAACTTCTGACTGCAGGTGGGGGAAATGATTTACCGGAAAACAAAATGAGGCAGAGCCTGGGAAGAAGGGATACGGAAAGCACAAATACCAAAAGCAAGGGGGAAAGGGAAAAGGGTGAGAAATGCTTTCTACTGTCACAGTCTGAAAGCGGTTTTCAACAGACTCCGCTTCCTCCCCTCATCCACAGAAGGCTGTGTTCTTCAGTGCTTTCTCCATTTAACGAGATGGGAAACCCAATACACGCAATGTAAGGCGAAAGAGGAGAACCATTTCTCCCTGGGACCATCTTCCATGTTGAAGGAAATGTAGGATGTCCTGGCAGGGGTCTCTCTTGGCTTCAGTTCAGGGAGAACGTCTAAACTGGGGACGGCATAGTTATCTGTAATTCAAAGCCCCCATGAGGCGAGTATGCCTCTCCTTGCTTTTCACCTTCTGAAGCCTCTCAAAGTCAGCTCTTACACATGCTGTTTCTATGGAAACGGCAGAACGGCTTTAAACCCATCCATGCTGCAGTGTTATTAGACGTGACTCTTCTGCACTGATCCCGGCCTTCTCTTGCTTGCCTTTCCCGGCCCCAGTTCAACCTGGCAACTGCTTTCTTTTTTTCATTGATTACTTCTCTCCTAGAGACCTTCATTCCCTGTTTGTCTATCCTTAAAGTCCAAAGCGGGAACAGGGCCCAGTACTTGCAGACCTACATTTTTTAACATTATGGATCAACAATCTGAGAACCACAGCATGGGACCAAGCAGAGGCAGTCAGGGGCTGTCGAGACATTTCGCACTGAGGTTCGAAGGCATGCGCTTGGTTATATTAAAGATTAAATCACAAAAACACAAGAGGTAGCCTGACAGCCGCAAGGCACAGGAAGACTGTGCCATTCCCCTTGGTAATTGCTGTTAGTTCAAACAGAGCGTTGCAGAATTGCGTAAGATGGCACAGCCCACATCAACAAGTGTGGTGCTACACCTTTTTGTAGTCTTTCCTAGAGGTCCCCTCCCTGCTCTACTTTCTGCTTAGTGTTGTAGGAGCTGAGAGGAAGGTTTTGTCTGGCACTGTCCTTGAGCTCCTTGACTTCCCTGTCAATACTCCTTTCTCCATCACTGACCTTAAGAACATGAGACAAGCCTGCTGCATCAGCCCGATGGCCCATTTGTTCCAGGATCCTGTTCTCACGGAAGCCAAACAGATTCCTGTGGGAAACTGGCAAGCAGGACACAAGCACAAGGGCACTCTCCCCCAGGATGCTTCCAGCAATGGACACTTCTGAATATCCATGCCTCTGACAATGGAAGCACAGCATAGTCAACATGGCTAGCCGTCAATAACCTGGCAATCCCCTTTCTGATTGTTTCAATTGCTTGGAGAAGTGGTGAAGAATGAATGTTGCAAGAATGCTTACCCTTCTACTTCCTACTGCTTTTTTGTTAAAGGGGAACTTGCATGGATAGCTCAGTTGTTCAGAGTGTGGTGCTGATAGTGCCAAGGTTGCCAGTTCGATTCCCGCATGGGACAGCTGCATATTCCTGCATTGCAGGGGGTTCAGCTAGATGATCCCCTGGTCCCTTCCAACTCTATAATTCTGTGATTCTATGCCTCTCCCATGGGAAAATGCGAAAGCTTCACAAGCATCCAGGGCCTACAGGTCTTCCTGCACAGGAGAGAAGACAGCTGCCTTATCAATTGTTGCAAGATGCAGCACAGACTCTGTAATCCTTCTGCTTTGAGTGGAAACTCCTTTACTGCTAAGGAGAGACATTTAATAGCAGTAGTGATTCTCTCCATGTGTACATGCTACGTGGCTACTTTTCTGATTTATTTAGCTTTTCTTCAGCTGTATCCATGAACAAGGCCCAAAAGAAATCAGTGACCCAGGAAATGGTGCAGTCCCCTCGGAACATTTCCCTATGGAGCTAGTCACAATTGCTGCAGAAAGCCTAGATGTGTGGTTGAACTGCCAGAAAAAAGCTCTATATTCTCCATAGCACCTAGCAGCACAAGGGGGGAAGAAGCCTCTTCAAACTCTGTACAACTGTGGCCTCATCTACACATTTGTTTGTCCCATGACAACAAGTCACGGGTCCAAGAGGCTGGATTTTTTTGTCCCGCCACAAAACCCGCTGTTCACTGCTGAATCGGAACAAACAACAAGCCACAGAACATTACTATTCATTATATACTGCCACCCATATATATTGGGCTTTACAAAGAATGGAGTCTGTTTCCCAAGGGCCTTACAATCGAGATTGTCCTTTGCTTTGATTCAACAGGGCTGCCCTTGCATTCTTGTAGGGAGCTCTAAGAAAAGGCAATCAAGGGATGCAAAGCCCCATTGGCAGAACAATTTAGATCAGTGGCTCCCAAACTCCCTCTCCCTCCACAAACCAGGGTCTCAGCAGCCACTTAAATGAATTCTCTGCCTTTGTAGCAATTGCACTGCGCTGTATGATTTTGTATTTTTGCAGACAGGCCACCGGCTACCTTAATGAACCTTGCTGACCACCAGTGGTCCACAAACCAGTTTGGGAACCCCCGATTTAGATTGCTGTAATAAGGGAAGGATGCAAACCTCCCTCTCGAGATACAAACAATGTTTCTTGGAGGTTACTGTAATAGCTGAGGCTGCAGCCGTGAGTGCGATGTGGGTTGTATAATATCTAGCCAGGTGCCAGGTGGGGAGTGCATCTGTTGTATTGAAATCAGTGCTGTCTGTGTTTCTAATAGTGACATCAGCAGCTGGTTATTTCACCCCTGAGGCTGCTTCTGCTGCGTCGCGAAGAAGATGCATACCACGTGCTTGTTGTTGTCCCAAAGGACGGCCTTTTGTTGGGGCATTGCACCATTAAGCCTGGATGATTTCTGTCCCTTGCTGCTTTTTGAAGTAGGCTTAGGGTGTTTGCAGCTCTGTGCTGGTGGTAAGTAGGCAAAGATGTTTCAAGATGGCTGAAAGAAACATCGAGCAAGGAACAGAGCAGCAACCACACGGTGCCTGTTGCCTTATAAATATGGAGTGAATTATACGGATGGCAGAATCAGAAAGTGATGGCCTTTCTGAACACTCTCTATTAAGCTTTGTTATTTATTAAGCTTTATTAAGGCGGGGGGGGGGAATCAATATAGCATTTTATACAAACCTTCTCCCAAACCCCAATGTGCTTTCGGCTTCACGGTCTCAGGCTGCATACACACTGCACATTTACAGCACATTACCTTTGCCCCAAAATATTGGAAACTGTAGTTCACTCCTCAGAGAGCCACAGTTTCCAGCACCCTTAACAAACTACCATGCCTATGATTTTTTAAGTGTGCTTTTAGATTTATGAAGCATACCCTCCAACATTTCTCTGATGAAAATAGGAACATCCCATCCCATACTTATAATTTACTATTTATACCCCACACATCTTACTGGATTGCCCCAGACACTCTGGGCGGCTTCCAACACAAATACAAACATAATAAAACAGTAAAGTTTTTTTTTTAAAAAAATCCCTATACAGGATTGCCTTCAGACGGCTTGTTTTCCCCATCAAAAACTCCCATCAGTCTCTGTCAGTAGGAAGGGCACCAGATTGGGAAATTTATTTTGGAAGGGGAGGGGAGAGCATTGGAGGCTTAAATTAGGGTTGCCATATTTCTTAAAGTAAAAACCAGGATACCCCGAAAGTTGTTGAGCTATTTTTTACAAAACGCCAACCTTCCACCCCCCCACGCAATTTTTCAATGGAGTTGCCTAAGATCCAGCGCTGCCTTTTGGAAATTCCCCCCCAGACATCAATTCTGCCTTTGAAATCCCAGTAATAATAAATAATAATAATTTTTTTTTATTTATACCCCGCCCTTCCTGGTTCAGAAAACCGGGCTCAGGGCGGCTAACAACAAATTTAAAACACTTAATTGTAATACAACATAGGAGCAGCATAAAATACAGTATAAAATCATGAATAACAATAAAATTCAAAGTTCAAAAATCAATTTGGGGGAAATCCATCCAATAAGCATTAGATAGTCACCAGGGCTAGCTGGCTGAATTAGTCCTACTTGGGCCAGCGAGGAGGCCAGGGGAGAATTAGCTGTGGGGTCTCGGAGCAGGTAAATCTTCATAAAAGGGGAGGGGGAGGGAAGAGAAGGGAAATAAAAGATCAGTCTGAATTCAAGTTAAAGGCCAGGTGGAATAGCTCTGTCTTACAGGCCTGGCGGAAGGAGGTTAAATCCTGAAGGGCCCAAGTCTCATGGGACAGAGCATTCCACTAGGTAGGAGCCATCACTGAAAAGGCCCTGGCCCTGGTGGAGGATAGTCTGACAGTAATGTTCAGGAAAATCTGGACGTATGGCAGCCCTACTTAAATGGTATTTTGTAGTATCTGTTCCTGCTCCCTGAAGGAGCAGGCAGCAGGGAGAAAAATCTCTGCTTGCTCCAGAGATCCAAAGGAGCTGCATCTATCAGCCAGGAACCTCTTTGCAATGTTCCCATTTGGAAACCATTTTTTAACAACCAGGGCTGGGCATCCAGTACTCCTATCTTCCCCTATTGCTTTGAATTCTTCACCTGAGCATAGAAATCTGCAGCTGTCCCATAGCACAACAGCTGCCCAATGCACAGTGCTCCTTTCCCCTCCCCTGCTGAACTGCTCAGATAGGAAAGGAAAAGCCACATGCCTGAAGGGTTCTTTGGAAAGACATTGCCCAGAATACTCCCTGCTGTTTCTCCCCTCCCTCTGCAGTGGTGCTTATGGTACGGATGCTGGCTCAGTCCACAGGCTTTGACAAGATGTATTCAGATCCATTCCAGTCTTGGAGGTCTCCAATTCTACATATGCACACAGTGGTTGATGTTACTTTGTGACTGCTCTGACAGCTCCTTCCTTTTAAATGCATGGGTTTGCAAGCTGGAGTGTTATTAATTGCCAAACAGCCTGCAAGCACTATTATCGTTTATTCTGTAAAAGTTGTTAGCTCGCTTACTTTGGAAGTGTCCAGCTGTGTCCCAAGTAACCTTCCTTCATTCTGGGAAAGTCAACTGAGTACAGTATAAAAATTCACCTGTATCAAAGCTCGCTTGTTCACTAGACAGTGACTGCTGTCTGATATTTGTCCTGAGTTTTTACTGCTCGGTAAAAACTGTGTCTCTCCTGAATTAATAGCATCCATTAATCATACAGTAATGCCTCTTTGCTGCATCACAGCCTACATTTCAAATTATTCTCCTCCAGCTGTGGTACTGCCCTGCAGGATGAGGGTACTCCTAGGTCAAGTGGTTGCCCAAAAGCCTATGTACACTGTAAAACAGTGAAGAATTATTTGTAGGAAAAAGATGACTACTCGCACTGTTCCTAGCTTAGCAGAGATTCTGTCTCACACCTTCCAATGTTGTGATATTGGCTATGACAAATCAGATGTACAAAATAAACTGATGCCTTATACTGGACCCATTTAAATTGTTTAACTAAAAGTGTAAACTTTTACCTGTTTTATAGCTCTCAAGCCAGTTTTCAAGTTCCAGATTTCACTCTGTTTGTGGGAGTGACCTAATTCTTCCTCCAGGAAAGCTTTGCTTCCAGACAGAGCTGTTTGTGGTATTAAGACATGCTAACTCAGCACACCTAAATCTGTTTACACACTATATTTTTAAAGCACATTCCAAGCACACACACACACACACACAGAATTCTGGTCACTGTGGTTTACCCCATACAGAGTTACACTTCTCAGCAACCTTTAACAAACTACAACACCCAGAATTCTTTGAGGCTAAAATGTGCTTTGAATGTGCTTTATAGGTATAGTGTCTATGCAGCCTGAGAGGCAGACGGCTGTCATCCCTGTACTGCTTCCTGCTAGCATAAATTTCATAGGACAGGCATGGCATGCTCCAAATAAGGGAACATCCTGCAAACATTTGTGCAGTACAGTGGTACCTCGAGTTACAAACGCTTCATGTTACAAACACTTCGGGTTACAAACTCCGCTAACCCGGAAGTAGTACCTCAGGTTGAGAACTTTGCCTCAGGATGAGAACGGAAATGACGCACTGGCAGCAGCGGGAGGCCCCATTAGTGAAAGCATGCCTCAGGTTAAGAACAGTTTCGGGTTAAGAACGGACCTCTGGAACGAATTAAGTTCGTAACCCAAGATACCACTGTATTATGCCTCTTTTTAATTTTATTCTATTGCAATGCTGTGCTGTGCACTTCTGGTTTAGCATCTCCTGACCCAGTGATTGTGACCTTGGTCTCAAAATGATGGCTGCCCTGTACTCAGCACTAACTGGAACACAGAACCATGCTCCTGGTGATGCTGCCATTTGAGGGTGGAGAGAGATGGTTCTCACCCTAGAAGGCCTGATGGCATTTTCATTCATATCACAGCAGGGGAGCTGGTTCACACATGCACGGCCCCATCTTGAATTTTCTCCATGTCTATACAATGACTGGCCAGTAAGAAAAGGGACTAATGCCCCTGAAAAGATACAGAATTTCTATCTGTGGTGCCAAATCTGGCTCATTCACACACCCAAGTAA